AAAAAAATGTTACTCTTTTTCAAAATAATACTTTACTAATAATATAAGAAATCTGACCCTTGTGTTTGCTTACGCTTCAAAGAGACTCATTTAATGTCACATATCCACTACTGCTCATTCAGCCTAGAACTCCTCCCAAGGTAGATACTGGCTGGTTTTAGAGTATACCAGCATTTCAAAAGAGCACAAACTAAGCAACTTCACCAACACCTTTTAGTGAAACACCTCAGGTTCCAGCACAGGGAAGAGAAGTGACTACCTCCTTTCCTGCTTTTCTTTTGGAAAAGTTGGGTGCAGGGGAAAGGTCTGCCTGGCTGTAACACAGAAAGCAGGCAGGTCTGTAGGGAAGTTATCCTTTAAAGTGGTTTTAAGAAGCGAGTTCCACACATTTCAAAGACCAGTTCCAGCCCTAAATCACTTTGCCAATTTCTTCTACCTTACTATATCCCTTTCCTTGTCCTTCATGCTGTATGGAAAAACCAAAAAAAAAAAAAAAATGGAAATCAGCCTCATGACTAGATGCAAGTAGAGTCACTGCAATTTCACCAGGGATTTCCCTGTCAATGAGTGTCATGCCTGTGGCCTGTGCTTGCCTTGAACAGGTGAATTGCATACATAATTACTCTGAAACATTCCAGATGCACTGGATTTACTACTCACACCGAGATTTCAGAAGCCCTTTTCACTAATGCTGTACCCACAGCAATGAGGAAGAAACCACTCTCCGGTGGATGTCAGAACCTCTTAGGGTTGAGCAATTAGGACATAAATAAAGGCAAACATGTTGAGTTCCCTCCCCAGGTGTCAGTTTCAGATGGTGATGGATGGAAATAGTAATCGGATAATGTAAGGCAGGGACATGAGCTGATTTGTCCAGGTGCTGGAAACACATCTAGATAGATTCTCTGGATATCCAACGGCTCTTGTCAGAGCTGAAACTCCTGCTGAGCTGCTACACAGATGTGAAATCCCCAACTTCTATTCCAGTAAAATTTATAGATGGAAAAAAGGGGTATTTCTGCAGAAAACCAGATGAATGGTAAACCTTCTTATACTTCTGCCACTAGTACTTCATAAAGCATTTTGACTTCTGTACAAATTCTGACTTTTTAGTTTTACGTTTTACACAGTCTTTCCCTTAGGCTATGACCCCTGACTTCCAGAATCCATTCAAAGACCTTCTTCATCCCTGCAATATCCTGAAAAGTCCACTTGAAGCCATTTGTGTACTTTTCCATGCCTGAAGCTCTTGCTCTATAAGGCAGGAGGGCACCAGTCAGACCTGGTGACAGACAAGGGGACAAAGCACATTCTCCTTCCAACGAGCTTCCTCCTCACCCCATGGAGCTGCTCCGACTCCAGCCATGGTCCTGCACCCAAGACTGGCATCTAGTGGCAAATGCCAAAGTGGTGACCATACTTAAAGGAAGGGATGTTTAATTTTATACTGTCACTGTAAGAAAGTTTACTGCAAAATCTAATTTAAAGTATATTCTTTGGACAGCACAGTAATGTTCTGTTTTTGTTACTGAATAAAATAACTAGTAGCTGGGTTTTTCTTAGCTCTTTAATGCTTCATTACTAATCAGCTGATTTATTTCACATAAGGGAAAATATATTTTCTTCTGAAAATTTGTAGTGAATTTCAGGGCAAAGTCAGTTCCAACAAAACTGATTTAGCAATACCCACAGATGATGGCATGAACTCTATTTAAGGCAAGGAAATTGCCTTTCAAACTCCTGGCAAGAATTCTGAAAGCTTCAGAGTACTGAGTATACCGAGTTAACAGAGGAAATGCTCAGTAATTAACAACTAAAGCTCAAAAATTAAGACTTGTCAGATCTTCAGGTCAAAACATGAAATTCTGTCTTTTGAGGGATTAATCACATGGCCACTCACTGAGTGCAGTGTTTGCCACACATAACTAAATCACTGAAAGATCATCAAATTAATGCAAAATCACAATGAAATATTTTCTAACCTTGTATTTAATAAATAGAGTAAACATCCCAGAAAGTTAGCTTAAAGATTTTCAACCAAGAAAACACTAAATTTTGATACCAAAGTTAGGGGGCAGCTTGGGTGGTGGACCTTTGTGTTTTCTTTTTAACTTTAGAGGTTGCAGTTGAAGATGAAATGCATATAGTTTAAAACTTGAACATACAAAAGGAGTGACAATCATTTTTATATCTTTTCCACCACATGCCATTAGACTTTCTTTTATAACTTTTGGCTCTCCAGGTCAAACATTATATCTTCCAAAGGGAAAATAATTTCAACCATTTCTAAAAAGATGATCTGTGCCATGGAGCAAAACCCACTTTCCATGAGGGCAGGCATTTATTTCACATACATATATATATGGCAATTTTAATATTATATAAATACACATTTATCTATCTATACAGCTACCTAATTTTGTTACAAGCAGGTTTATGAGTTTTGGAAGGAACCACCACATAGGAAAGGAGATCTGTATGAAAGCACTGTGGTCATGAAAGTATGCTCCACAAATATGGTATTTCTGAAACATCTGACAAACCTCCACCACATCACAGTGCTGAAACTTCTCCTACCCTCAAGCTCTTCATGTTACAAAATGAATGAGCTTTTCTAGGCAAGCCTTGTGAAGTTCTCAGAAGGTTGTACTCCTACTTGTGGACTCTCATAAAACAAAAACAATGTCTGGAAAAAGCAGTCTTAGGATATATTTCTAACTACCATATTTAAAGTTCAGGCCAATTGAAATATTTCTATGGATGATAAATACATTTTTTAAAAAACATTACCATGTTTTTTGTCACACTATGCAACAGAGATTTTTTTGAAGTATCACTCACAAAAAAAGTAAAGTGCACTGATTTTTGCTTTATCCTCAGACATAGAAAGAGCACAAAGCAACAAGATAATTAGACAAAATGATGGATTTGAACACATGCTGCATTTTACTGTTAACATGTATGCATAACTTCCATTAATGTCAGTATGAGTTATGTGTGCACTGCTAAAATAATATGACCATAACAAAAATATTTCCTCCAGAACTAATATAGTAATATTTTTTAATGACATTCCAAAAAAAAAAAAAGTAAATTAACATGCAACTGCAACTCCTTCTTCAAACTTATACTTTCAAATTCGTTAAAATAAACCTTATTTTTTTCTCAAATTGGCACCAAGTTAAGAAAGAGTTGATTTTATCAAACTACCTTTGATTTAATGGGTACTTATCTTCTTTCCAATTCAAAAAGACTGAACAGATATGAACAAGACTAGGCTGCTATCCATTTTTATTCTAAACTTCCATAAATAACAAATTTATATGGGAACAAGAAATGACAATTGAAGAAATTTTCTAAAACTGACAACTGATCGTGGCCAGTAAATTAAGATGGATCTTGACAATGACAGCCAGATGGGCCTAGAATGCAGAGTTATGGTTGGAACTTGAAAATAATATAAGCATAGGAAATCATCATGAATGTTCTTAAACACACACTTCACGCCTATTTAACTAGAAACTCATAGCCAAAAACTGTAATCACTCAATATTGAATTTTTTAAACAATAAATAGAAATTAGAGTCAATGCTTCCAATTATTAAGTTACCTTAAAAAAAAACTAGGACCTTTGCTACTGAATCTTTCACTTCTAATACCGCTCAACCAGCCCTTCATTCATAGAACAGAACAGCTTTTGTCCAAATGAGTTCTACCTCACCAGTTTTTGCCAACCTCATTTTCCAGACTGTTCTGTGAGGTTTTGTGCACCAAATTTAAAAAGTCATATTAACAGAATTAGAAATTTTCCCTCTATTTTGTTCAGCAATTGTTAATTATGATTATAAAAAAAAAATATATTATTAGGACAAAAAAAAAGGCACTTGAGGAAACAGACCAAAGCACTGTATAGAAAATAGATGACTGGCACTGAACATCTGAGTTATGATGGGACAATTAATATGTACAGATAACTTAAAAATTTAAAAAACTTTTAAAATGTATCTATTATAAAATATAATGTCCCAGAGCATTCTAATTCATATGTGATTCCATTTTTCTATATGGATATAGAGCTCATTAAAGTCCAAACCAGAAATTCTTTAAATATCCCTGGAAACATTTGTGCTTCCATTACATTATTTCTGCACCTGTATTACCTGTCACACATTCTTAAAATTCACTTTTATAAAACCCTGCTAAGTATGTGACTCCATTTCCACTTTGCCTTATTTACAACAATATTATGAAAACCATTTTTTCCGATTATTTCCCTTTCTTTAAAATGCAAGGATAACTTTAACAATTGACCTGAAAATATATAAGGCTTCTTCCCTCAAAAAAACTGTTTCAAAATTGTAACTGTGATTTTTCTTTGTTGAATGTTAGCTACACAATTATCAGCCTAGCTAATTCATAACAGGTTCACCTTTTTGCCAATTTTAAAGATCATATCAGAGCTTTAAATGCCTCATAATTATAGATATTTAATTTTCTTTGCATGGAGGAAGTTAGATTTAAATTACACATCCCTCTTCCTTTTTCATTCTGAACACATATACACAGTATGCAAAAATTCTTTGTTAGTTTGGGGGTGTTTTTAACCAATTCAAAGCAATAAGCTTTGCACCATCAATAGAAAGTTAATAACTCCCTACCCTTGAATGTGACACTGGCAGAAATTCCCTTATTGCATTCCACAAAAGTTATATAGTACTGATATTTTTATTTGCATGCAAATAAGGACAATTTACAAAAAATGTTGAGTTTATCCTTCTCAAATGAAGACTTTTGCACTTCTGTGCTTTTAAAGGAGTTTAAGTGTCTTAAAACTATTAGAAATCCCTAGATTCACACTTAAATATATGCAGTGTGAAATATATGCAGAGAAAAATGAAAAAATAACACCAAAAGAAACACATCAAAACTTTCTCCTACGGCAAAAGTAGTTATTTTCTTTTTTTTTTTTTCCTAGAAATTAGAGAAATCAAGGTACTTACTTCATTTCTAGAATTTCTTCAAGCTGTTTTCTTCGCTCTATTCTCAGGTTAGCCAGGTGTGCTTCTTTTTCAGCCAAAGATTGCTGTGTTGAGGCAAGACGGGCTTTGGTAGAATCTAATTCTTGTCTAGTCTTTTCCAGTGCATTCATCAGCTCTTCTACCTAAGAGAGAGGACATTTTCACCTCCATATTCTTTTCAACCATAAAATATTAAATCCATATAAATACTGTGGGGGGTGAACACACTAAAGGAATTATTTTTTGTATATAGCTGTTCAAATCTCTTCCTACCATAACTGTTTTAAAAACTAACAGTGTTGTTTCAAAACCAAAAAGAAACCTCAAAGTTTCCATAAGTCCATTAGTAATAAACAATATTTATACAAAATAGAACTAACACAGATCACCAGCAACCTATTTAATCTGGGCCACTGCCACATACAGATACAATTTATAAATAAGTCCTGCACCATTTGTATTATTTAAATTCAGGGTGGTGGTAACTCGTCATAGAAGTCATTTCAGAAATTTTAAATGCAGCATGTTTTAATATAAAAGTGTTATGAAAACCCAACCTTTTTCATGAAGAATGCACACATTTGCAAAACAGGTTGCCCAGGGAAACTGTAAACTCTCCAGTCCTTGAGTATTTTAACATTTTGATTGAATGAAGCATGGAGAATCTGATCCAACTTTGAAGTTATTTCTGCTTTGAGTAGGAGTGTATAGTGCATTGCCTCTAGTGGTCCCTTCTAATCAAATTATTCTACCATCTTGAAATTTAAAGGTCTGTAACTATTCTAATAACAATCAAGTTATTTTCCTCCTGATAACTGTGAGAAGCTCTGAAGCATGAAGTGTAGGAAAGCTGTGATGATCCCATTCTTTCCTTAGCATAGAGAAATTTAAAGAACACACTAGAGAATGGAGACTATGCAATGACACCTGGCTGGCAGGAGAAGCTTTACTTGTGGGGTGAATCATTTTCTATGAATGGTTTCCAGTAACCAGTATGACAGTGGGATTTCCCCCTCTTCAAATGATACAGTTTACATAAAGTGATAGGTTTTTAAGTGACACATAATGATTTGAATAATGAATATCCTATTTCCTGTATGTTCTTTCTCACATCCTTTGACCAAATATAATTATTTTATAAGTGAGAAAGCACTTCAGGAAGAACTTCACAATGAAATAAAATAAAATGGGAAAGCGGATATATTCCATTCATCCATGTTATTGAAAGTATTCAAAGGAGTTCAATTTTGCTGTGAATTGAAAAGTCTGACCAAATTCCACAGTGCTCATAACCATCAGTGTGGCTACATCTCCCAAGTTTATGCTTAACTGCTGTTCTCTAAAGCCTCCTAGCAGGCAATCAGTGCTTAAAAGCCATTTCTGTTTCAATTCCAATATAGATGGGCTTCTATATAAAATGTTCAATAAATAATACAAATAAATAACAGAGTTGTTATGAATTACAATGGGGACTTACAGCCTGTTTGCCAATGATACACTAATTACTTACTCCTTCCACACCATCTATACAAACACTCTAATAAGATCAATGAAATACTAGATGGTGTCTGATACCCTGCAGTGCATAAGAAGCTTTATTTCATGAATGCAGATCAGCATTGCCAACAGAATTAAAAATACTGATGTTCAACTTTCCACTCAGAAAGTAAAAGCAGTGTAATGGTGGTACCAATGAAACAGCAAGGAGTGCAACTCAGGAGTCTCTGCAGATGCAAGATTCCACTGAAGAAACCATGAAGATGATGACTTGAGATATCTTTGTAAAATGATTGTCTAGTGAATGTTCTTAAAAGCAGCAAAGGGAACATATACTTGAAGGAAATAAAGAAATAAAAAAGCTGGATTTGCACTTAAATCCCATGCAAAAAAGAATTAACAGGCCAGAAGGAAAGAGTCAGATCATATTTCTTTAAAAACAGATTCAATGTCTAATATAACACCAAGTACTTCATCTTCTGCTTTACTGCAAGAACATAAACCCCATGATGCTTCCAGCAACGACAAGACTCAACTCCTAATACATATTATATTTCCAACTGTTTTCTGGGTTATTGCTTTTCCTTGTCCCTTTTAAAAACTGCATCTAGTTTCTCCTGAGCATCCACTCTATCACTTAATTTCAGACAACATAGCTTAATAGAAACTGTAGTAAGGATCAGAACAGAAAAGTCATTAATTCATACAGTCATTCATTCCCCAGCTTTGAGACAGTATCTTTAAACACCAAGACACTCCCTACTTGCAGATTTGTGGGGCAAATGAGAATATAAAAAAGTAGAATTCTTGAACTTCTGTACTTTTAGTATCATTTTGCTCCCTTTCCATGCTCTCAGTTTGGTATCCCACCTGATGATTGACTGAATCCTTACACAAGTTTATATCACATATATCACATAATTTACATTTCAAAACATTTAAGAGAATTTAAGACTGGTGGAAAACAAAGCTGTGGATTTGTTAATGCCTATTAATAACATACTCTTACATTACCAGACAAAAGAGAGCGAAGTTTAAAAGAGAAGGGAAAAAACCTTTCAAAACTTAAATATGAAAGGTTTTTCAAACCACAAATGGTTAACATGTGTTGACTTGAAAGTTTTATTTGCATTTACACTTTCAACACAGTATTTGCCAGCTAGTTCTTCCTTCATTTTTCAAATATTACCTCAGTTCATGGCTGCACATTTTCCTAGTTAACTGTCCTACCAACACCTACAGCCAAATTCAACTGGCAGGCATGTGCACAAGAAACTAATTTTTTTTCTTTCCTATCAAATGTAAATGTGTGAGTGTTGAAGTTCAACACACAATCCTCTCATCATGCTAATTATATAGTTGTAGCAGATGTGTTACAATGGAAAATTCATTTTAACCACTGAAGGCAGTATTATAGATGAAAATTTTGGTTTTGGGCAATCCCTGCACCAGCCCAGCAGCACCACCTGGCAGGGGCAGAGATACTGGGGGCAGTTCCCACCTGGAAGCTGCTCTCTTTTCCCAGCCCTATCCCTGAGTGTAAATTCTCCTAATCACAAACCCTGCATGTTTTGTATTCCCAGGAATGTTTTGAAAGAGCTTACAGCGAGAACCTCAGTGAATGCACTTAGCTCAGGAGTATTCTATGCCCTGAATATATTATTAGCTGGGTTTCTTCCCTTTTGCAAGACAATGGCCTCATTTTATCCTTTGCATTTTGTAATAAAAGCCTTTTTTTTTCATACTTTCAGAAGGAGCTTAACTGACCTCGGCACTTTGAGGATTTTATTAAAATCTGCACTAGAATTAAGTTTACATTTCAGAATGGCAGAAACCCAGCAAACTAAACTACAGTAATTGTTTCTTAGTTTTGAGTCTATTTTCGGTGAACACTTTCTACTTGTTCTGCAGCTTCACATTTTTAAGTGCTATCAGCAGTGTTTCACACCAAGATAAGGAAAGAAAAAAATGAATGTGGCTGAAGAATACATCTGTGCTACCAGATTCTGCAAATTAAAGGAGGTTAGAGTTCAAATGAATGACAGTTTATTAAAAATGCCCTGGAGCATTCTTAATTCCAGATTGGATTCGGCTCAGTACAGCTCAGGCTAACATAATACTGTTCCAGTTTGTGGGAATGAAGAGGGGGAGGGACAATTGCATGTTTTCTCAGTTCAAGTATAATATAGTTCTGCAGGATGATGAAGAGCTGGCAACATCCCAGCACTCAAGGTTAGTACTACTACCTTTAAAGGGTTGGCATTCATTTTGGCAACAACATTGGTGATAAATACAGGAGCTTTGGATTTCCCTGACTTTTTCAAGTATCAGTAGCTATACAAAAGTTTCATACCTTTTTTATTTTAAAACTTAATCTTGTGTTAGCACACAGACCATTTATGAATTTTAGATAGTAAAAGGAAATAAAGAAATCCATCTATTTAGAGATCCTTTTACTTTAGTATTAAAATATTTCTTTCAATTTTAACAGTTATATTAATTCAATAAAGCTGGATGCATTTTGATAATAAGTTATTCAGTGTAAGAATCCATCCAGTTGTTCTGAAAGGAGTTTTTTTTTTCCATTTCCTAAGGAAATGCCTTTTTTTCTCTACACCAAGTTACACACTACATAAATTTCAGTTATCTCCAGCTCTGTGAAGATTAATTTAATAAAAATAATATCTGGGGGTTTTCCCCTTAGATTAAGCATGAGATTGTAAAAAAGGAAAGACTATAATCCTCAAACTTTCTCTTTGTGGCTTTCCTACAAATAGTCTGTCACTGGACTAAAAGGGCATAGAAAACACATTCACAGAGATGAGGGAAAAGAGATAAAAGCTGGAATTTGGACACACCAAATGTCCATCTACAGCTCTTTCCACTCTTAGCCTTTGCCATGAACACATTGCCCGTGCCTTGCACAGCAAAGGTGAGTGCCAGGCATGCCAGGATGCTGTGCCAGCAGCTGCTGACCACGCAGGAAACCACTTTATCTCATGGCCAGTTCAGTTATACACCTACAGGAGGGCCAGCACCAGCCATGTGGACCTGCTGCTTTTAAAAATGCCAGTGCTATCCTGCAGGATGGTTTGTAAATACATTGTTCCTTCCTGTTTCTAATGCAAATTTCTCCCGAGTGAAACTGCCTGAACAGTTTCATTACAAAGGTGTTTTTCACAAAAGCAAACAGACATAGCAAAGTGTCATCCTGAGCTTTGCAAGACATGGAAATAAACTCTTTGTCACCCTCCGCTCTACTTTCTTCCCATCCCATTTGTCATCCGTAGACAAATTCTTCACCTCTGAGTTCCATCACAGTTCTTAAAGCCAAGAAACAGGTCTAACAAAACCAGTGCAGTTATGGAGGCTGATGCTTCTGAACCTTGCCAAACAAAGAAATTAGACACATGCTGTGTCTCACAACTTTGGAAATTGTCAGAGAAGAGACAAGTAACCATACTCTAGAATGCATAAAAGCTTTAAAATAAACGTCATAGGTGCAGGATTTGACAGAATATTAGGCAGTATTTACAAATTCCAGGTTGGTTTTCCAACTCATAAAAGATATGTAGGGCCCAGTGACATCAGCCAGCAATGCAGTGGCAGTTCAACACAAAGCTCCAGAAGCACTGCAGCAGCAGCA